CAACAAGGTCCACTTGTGTGGATATCTACTTGCTGAAAACGAATCCTGGCGTAGCCAACCTCAACGTGATAGGCACGTTAGCTTAATCGAATAAAATAATTCGAAGTGGTCAGTATTCTGTCGAAACTTTTGTGCCGTTTGTAGTATTTTCTGAAACGCACTGTTAAGACAGCAGGTAATAGTTGGTCTGTGTTCTGTCGGAGCTGCCTGCGACGCGCTGATGAGATCCAAAAAGATCGAAATCGCGATCCGCGTCTGACGTTTCGACAGAATACTGACCACTTCGAATTATTTTAAACGAAATATACTTTTTAAATTAGTACGCCGTTGAAGTAGTGCTCAAAAATATTTGAATTCCTCGAGGTCGGGTACATGCGTTGAAACAAACTAGTAACGGAATTCATCCGTTTTTGTCCAAGAATGACAATAACAGGCGAAGTTTAACAAAAATTATTGCAAAGAAAAAGTCATTCTAAATATGAAAAATTAAGAGCAAATCTGCTTCAAAGGTATTTTTTACGATTCAAATTTAGAAGCTGTTTCCTTTTGCCGGTGTCACAAGTGTGTTCCTATTTCCATCAGAAGAAATGATTTGACTTGCAAATGCCTTGGAGGCCAAGGTGACCAAACAATTAACCTTGCGAAGGCATAAATAAATTAAAATATTTCATGTTTCCTTGCAATAGATTTTCGTCTGTTTAAAAACGTATAAACCCCTCCGAACACGTTACCGTAATTTTATGCATCGGTAGTTTTGAAAAGATTCTGAAATTCATAAGAAATACAAATGGGTGCACAGCTGAATTTTAGAGGAAAATCGTAGTTTGCATTGTCGAGAAAGATGTGCCATTATACAGATTTATAGTAGTATAAATTTCACTTTATCCCACCGCTACCGTTGACGTTGTAACAGAAACTGTGCTTGCATGTAATAAACTATAATACATACAAGATAAAAAGCCGTGTACACGCCGACATGAAAACCGAAGGTGAAACATCAACAACTGATGAATCGGCACGTATATATGGGGGTTGTTTTTGTTACCTTAATGACGAAAAATGAATCGCTTCATATCGATCTGATTATGAAAGGCACCCTTATCAGTAAGGGTATGTGCATAAATCTGCTTGTAGTAGGAGAAGTAAAGATTATAGCAAAATTAGTGTTGCATATTTAATCTGATTCTTAGGTTTTTTTAAATAATTATTCATAGCACAAATTTTTCTTTTATTAAAAATATNCGTTGATTACAGCAGTGAAATCAAACTAGGGATTTAGAATAAACAAGTACGATCTATTTTGTCGATTATTTTTATTGTCAATTTGCATCATGGAACTCGGACTAATTAGTTTTGACGACAAAAATGTTTCTTTACATTGTTCGCACACTGGCAACCTGTAATTAGTTCTGTAAAAATTTTACAGAATTAAATATAGAAATTTTTATTTACGAAATGTAAGCTATCAATTAATTTGTGTTATAAAAGCATTCCTTGAGTGACATCACTGTTAAGGCGATTCAAATGTCAGGGCTGTCGTTATAAAATGTTAAATAAACAATAAAATTTTTGCAATCTGCAAATATTTTTTGGAAACATGTTCCTTTTAGGAACTGTTTGTGATATTTGCGAAAATGAAATTCGATTACATCACTAAGCTATGAGTACATACGTAATCATTTTTCTAACAACGGCTGATATTCAATAAGTACATTTACGTTACAATCTATTTTCGTTATCATTTCGAATATTTTCGTTCCATCTCGTGCAAGGAATATAAACTGTAATATAAACCTTGGAATCGATTCAATCTCTATTAAAATGGGAAACCTAACATCTGAATCGATTCTGGTGGGATTTGCCGTGATCTTCTTGACGTTTGTGAACAGTAAGTGGAAATGTGCTGTGTATCGTTATTGGTGTAATATAAGAGTTGTTTTAGGTTTACTTTTTATTGATAACTACGAATATTCGGTGGATGTGAGTGACGTCACATTCTATTTGTATACCCCCGACAATCCCGACGTTCCCGACAAAATATCTTTGCACGACTTGAACGATTTAGAATCTTCTCATTATCGACCATCGCTTCCAAACTATTTCATAATTCATGGATTGTTTTGCAACCGGGAAACTCTAGATTTAGACATCCGTCCTCCCCTTCTTGAAGCAGGGGATGTCAACGTTTTCGTGGTAGATTACAGTGGTCCGGCCAGCAGTATAACCATTCACGATCTAGCAATAGTCGGAGTTGGAAAGATTCTTGCCGACTACATATCAAATATGAAGAATAAATTCTCGTTATCGGAAGACCATTTTCGTACACTCGACTTATTATTCAATTTATTTCCTAAATTCGCCGGAGGTAATAATTTTTCGTTCTCTTTTGTCTTTGGTATTGGTCCTACTACTCGGTCTTGGTTTTAGTCTTGGTCTTGTTCATTCGATTTTGATCTTGCTAGTATAAAGACAGTCTTGGTCTGGGTCTCACGTGTTCGCAAGGTCAAGACCAAGGCCAACTGTGCTCATAGACAATAAACAAAAATTTCATGTAGGTACTCCTGTATTAGAGAAGAATGCAGCTGAAATTGTCACCTCTATCTACAAGTAAAATGTTTTAATCCTAAGTTTTATTATAAACTAGAAAACTTTCACCGCTGGTGCAGACGTTTGAGAACTTTTCACGTGTTGTGTCGAGTGCAAAAATTTGAATATGTAAAATCCATCTATCTACATACATTAAATTATCCTTAAAGTCAAGGCAGTTGTAAACTTTTCTGAAATATGAATAAATTTTATCATCCATATAACACAGAGTGAGAATGTTCATGAATATTGTTACTACACCCTACTGCATTATTAATGATCAACTAAATAACTGTACTGTGCTTTCAAATGGGGTTGGGGTATATTTGTAAAAATTCCGTCATAGATAGCCTATCAACTTCTATTTTTCACTGGATTTTACCCACAACACTGTTAGAATGAATATGTTTCTAATTGTTTATATTAAGTTTAAATGCTATTGTAAGGAAAAGCACGGCTCTTCCGGTGTACTGCTGTACCACATTAAAATGAATCAACTCCTCTAACTGGTTTAAAGAATTTAATTCACTTAAAAAATACGGATATATACAAATAAATACAAAACTTAAACTACCGTGGAAACTTATGATGAAATAAAAACTAACTAAATAAAAAGAGATAAGATTGACTGAATAATTTGAATGTTTAAGACAGCGA